ATACTAACATTAAGGTATTCACTCAGTACACATATTTGTTCTTTATGCAACAGTATTTATAGATGTAATGCCATCTTTAACAAACCAGGTTTACCCGTCAGTTTGTCAGTAGCACATTGAGGTTTGTGTGAAACTTGGTGATTATGGTGAGTGGACAGTTGCTTGAGGACTGGGTGCTGATGATAAAATAATTAAGATAATTACATAATTAAACTCTGATAATACTTTCAGAGAAACAAATTCATCCCTTTAATTGGAAAACTGTAAATCACAGCATTTTTGGCAAAATTTTGAAGATGTGCTAGAGGGCAAAATGAGGAATGGTTTTTAATAGTGGATTTCAAATTATTTGGGGAAGAACTCACCTAAGCACATCCTTAAAATAGTGGCCTTGGATTTGGAGATACAGTGAGGCATAGTTATTTTAAGAGGTACTCGTGTTAATAGTAACAAAATTCTAAAACATGATGAAATAGTTCACATTCAAAGTTAATACAGTCAGTAACATAAATACTGCTAAAATCCGTGTTCTATAATTAAAATGTACATAATAACATTTTAGAATTTTGTCAAGAGGCAAGTAATATTAAGTGACCTGGAGTAAGGCTAGGTATATGCATCTTAAATTTTGTACTCTGACATTTTCAGTAATATATTTGTTTTAATTTATAGGACTTACTGGAAATTGTTGCTAGGTTAAACTGCAAGATTATTTTAAAGTTTAACCTAAAAATGAAAACTGTGATGCATAATAAATCTTTACTTTTTAAATTGTGTACAGTATAGTTGAATTATAAATTAATTTAACAAAAGATAAAAATTTTATATTTATCATTCACAAAATCATAATACAAATTCAATCTATACTCCGAGCATTATAGTAACTTTAATCATCACAACCAATGGCATCATTAATATTTTATATAAATCCTATGTGCAGTGTGTTTTACCTGATGATAACATGGAGGCCACCAAAATCATACATGATATCTTGCAAGATACTGGCCAGCTCTAGAATTAAACATTTTAAGGGCTAAGGACTTCTAAAACAAAGTAAAAATTTAGTTTTCTAGTCAGATTTGATGTATATACTGTATACTTATTAGAATTAGTTTTCATTATAAATGTTTTGGAATATTAATTTCAAAATCCACAAATACTAGTTTGTATGATTTAAAAAACATACAGTTTCACTAGATCCCTATGCCACAATAAATTATGAAATATATAAACAAATCAAGCATTGAATGTAGAAATAATTTTTTTGGTGGGATCCCAGTAGCTCTACGAGCTTACCTTTGATTTCACCAAGGTTGAGCCCAACACACCAAGCCTACGAGATCAAACCATCGCCTCTTGGAATCCAGTACCAGAATATCTCTCATTATAAGGCGAGTCGAACGAAGAAATGGAGCGTAATCTCTCACAATTGGAAAAGCTCGCCCCCCAAAAAAATATGCACAACAAAAATGACTACTTGACAAGCATGAGCCACCCCAGAAGAAACAAGGCAAATGATCAATAATGGGGAGTAACTCCAGTAATCTGGATGTTGTAGCCACCAAATGGCAGTCCAAGGCACCAGAGGTTTTAGCTAGCCAGCTGCCTCGCTATGAAGCTGTCAGCGCCAAGCCCACCAACCCCACAAAAAAAGGGACAGAGCTACATGCAGCCTACCAGAAAAAGGCATTCATTAGTGTGTACATGTATCGTGGCACTGCCAAGTTTCGGCACTGTGGGGGCAGATCAGGACTTCCTTGAAAAACAGTATTATGGCTAGGATAAAGCCATAAACTCGTACTGCAATCAGAAAATTGAAGAATTCCAGTACTCGGAGGAAGAGGATGGAACCAATTCAGCTATACAATAAAGGTTTTGCATCTATTATTGAAGCAAGTCCTGTCAAGCCACACTTTAAGGAAGACAAAACAAAACCCTGTACAGGAGGATGTACTGTATATCCAAACCCCAGGGACCAGATTCACAAAGCAGTTACGCAAGTGCTTACAAATGTGTACATCTTTCCCCAATCTTTGACGGCTTTTGTTACATTGTTTAAACAGTTTACAAGCATGAAACTTCCCAATCAACTGTTATTATTGTTATAAACAGCCTCCAGGTGCTTCGGAGATCATTAACTGTTTAATAATAGTAAACAAAGCCGTAAAAGATTGAGAAGATGTACAGGTTCATAAGTGCTTGCGTAACTGTTTCGTGAATCTGGCCCCAGAAACATTGCTCTTGGAGGACCAGAGCTTGTAATGAGATAAGGGATAAAAAAAAACGTATCGAGCACCAAAAAAAAAAAGTTGAAAGACAGCCATGGACCCTCCTGCATCCCCAACATTTATGACCTTTCCGTGCCATAGAGAAGAAAGGGAGCCTACATTCACCTTGGAGTTTAGAAGCTGAATAGAGTGAAAAAATTGGATGGTGGTCAGGGAAGCCTCAGAACACTGGAAAACCGAATCCCAATGCCCATCCTGAAGAGACGAGGGAATCAATTTGTTGATAGGCTCTGAACATTCATAATATTCCCAGAGGGAGGCAGCCCCCGACAATCTTGCAATGCATGGTGCCTGTGGGCTTGCAACACAAAACTGATTAGAAGCCCGAACTAGGTTTGGAAACGGTTCTTTAATGGGGGAAAAATGGGATATCTGAATTATTTTAAGCAATAGAAAACCAGTGTAATGATGCATATGAAGGAGTTTGGTTGGGAATTAGTAGGAGCTGCCTAACATGAGCCAATAGCCTTCTGTGGGCTTTTTCTCTTCTTATTGTCTTAAGAACAGATGGAGCCAGAGACACTGAACAAACGAAGTTGGCAAGGTGCTGGCCAAGACAGAAATGGCAGAGTAATTTGGCTAATGCTTGCCACAAGTAGCTAAAATATGATGTTTCTAAACTTTCTCATAAAAACAGCATGGGGTTGGGAATTGCACTACCCACCATACATGGACTGCAAAAAGACCATACAGTACTGTGATGCCTGACTCAGTAAAATGACTGGACCTTGATAGGCAGACAGATGAGATGGGGCTTGGCTAAAACCAAGGTCCAGCAACGACAAATGGTGCACACCTGTGTGACAGGACTTCTGAACCCAATTGATCACATGACAAAGGTAACACGCATGGCCATTGAAGTCTAAAATCACTTAACCCCTTAAAGTACAGTTATCATTAAATATTGATTCAGGGAGGGGGGGGGGGCAAGCTGTTATCTTGAGGTCATCTTGAGATGATTTCAGGAGTTAGCGTTTCTGCTGTCCGGTTCTCGACCAGGCCTCCTTTTTGTTACATACTCCCCAGGAAGCTGCCCGTAGCACTTGTCTAACTCTCAGGTACCTATTTAGTGCTAGGTGAACAGGGTCATCATGGTGAAAGAAACTCTGCCCATTTGTTTCTGCCTCTACCGGGGATCGAACCCAAAACCTTAGGACTACGAATCCTGAGCACTGTCCACTCAGTTGTCAAGCCCCCCTTACATTATACATTGATTTTAACTATTATTGCCAATTGTGCTAATATGGATATACTGTACAGTAATAGCTCTATATGGATGTAGTGAAGTTTATCTGACCCATGAAAAACCCTGCTAACTCTTTGTGATTGCTTACAATGTAAATGCGATTAGCATCACAAATGTTTCTATGCCAATGCAGTAATTGTCATGGTATGAAATTCCGTGATAATTACATATGTATTACAATTTTGTTCATGTGGTTTTCTCAACACTATATGGTTGTAATGACGTATACCAGGTCAACACATCATCATTTGAACGTCATAATAAAAGCACTTCAGAAAGCCTGTTGGCCCGTATCGGGCAGCTCCTATGTATATCCACGCACACATTCATATATGTGCATTAATATTTATACTCATGTATATACTCTACTCATATATATATATGAGTGAGTTTGGGTGGATAAATATAGGAGCTGTCTCATATGGACCAATAGGCCTACTACAGTTTCTTTAGATCTTATGTTCTTACTGTTATATACATATATATTCATTCATTCATATTGAGTATATAATATATATATATATATATATATATATATATATATATATATATATATATATATATATATATATATATATATATATATATATATATATATATATATATATATATATATATATATATATATATATATATATATATATATATATATATATATATATATATATATATATATATACTGTAATACACACGCACACACATACATTCATAAATACAATCATTGATAAAGACATACATAAATTCATTCATTGATAAATACAAGCATTCATACATTTATTCATTAATGCTTACATTCATTCATTCAAAAGAATGTAATTTCTATGTGCACATTCATTCATTTTAGACCTTAATACATGCTCCTTAGTTAATTTACTCAATCCATGTTTTTATAAATTACATGTACATAAATCTAGTTATTCAATACTAATAATATAGTGAATGAACTAAATTAGTATTGTGCAAGGAAAAATATTTTTGGTATTTTTCTTTTTTTTATCACATAGGCAGATATGCGTGTAAATCCTTAGCCTCATGTTGGGGGTTAAGGATGTCAGATGAGAAAGTTTTCAACCAGATGGCTAAGACAATAAACCCTCACAGGGACACGAGACAACAGCCACTAGGACTGCCACAGTCAGCACATTTGGTGTTTTGGAGAAACAAACACCAAACCCAGACCTCAAACACTGTGAAAAAGGCTTTAAGCAACGATGAACTATAAAAAGGTATGTATTCAACCCAAGTGTGCCATCAGCTAAAGTGCACGGCCTCTAACACCTACTGGAGCAGACAGTTGTTGCTCCAGTAGGTGTAAGGCCTTGTGTAAGCCCTGTTGATGGAGGCCTCTCCCATCAACAGGCCTCATAGGGGAAAGGGGTAAACAAGTTATATACACTGCCTATGAATGTGGCAAGTTAGGAGAAGGCAACTTGTAGACAAGAGCTCATAAGCCTTTGGAGCAGGTATCCCTGGTGGAATATGGGAAACAAAAGCAGACCCAGGGAAGATAATCCTGGAAACTGCCAGAGCAAAACAGAATGCTAGGACTTGCAATGCGAGTGGCATAAATACACTCGTGAAGCAGCAAAAGGAAACGAAGCAATAGACCTCAGCAGAATAAATGTTTCAAGTAAAGCCTGAACCACTTGGCTGAAAGCAAGCCGTAATCAAAGAACTTGGCAAAGGTTACAGATATTGGGTAGGTGTCACAAGAGGGAAGAATGAGATGATGGGTTGACTGGACCCTCAGGCAAGCCAAACTGCCGTCTGGTGGAGATCAGGTGCATTCGGGTAGTTACCAAGCATCAACAATCATTTACACTTTTTTTTCCCTGAGGTGTCATTTTGTCACGCTTTAATGTTGTGCTTGTCTTTGTTTTGTTTTTCTCAGTTTTTTGGGGGGATGATCTCTGAGCCCCTGCTCCACTGGTCTTTTAGAGAGCCCGATTCAGATCTTGACTCCTGGTGAGTATCAGTGGCCTGGTGTGTTGGGCTAATGCTTGGTGATCTGAGGAAACCCTTGCAGAAAGATGACCGTAAATAACACAACTTCAAATATAAATGTTGAACAAAATACACATGAATGCACCTCTTAAAATGACTTCGTGTTTTAAAACATCACAAGTGAGTAGCTTCCTAATAGTAATAGAAGTTAACTGCAGTTTTAATGCACTTTTAAATCACATATTTAAGGGCTGTAGTTATAACTATTATAGTATCAAGAATGGGGAAACCATTTCCCTAATTTTTTAGGCATTCAAAACACAAGGAAAAGGAGCACATAATTTCTTTGAGATTTATCATAAAATAACTTAAAAGCTCTTAAATATGGAAATGCTTTTAGTTGCATGAAAATTCTTAGGTATAACAATACAGTATTTGGATAACTACCACACTTGGTTATAATTCAAAGATATTGTTTTGTAAGGCAGATTATCTCTTAATTGTTTTAAAGATATATCTAAACAAGAGAACCATAAGTATATAATAGATTCCGAATACCCTTTAAGATATAATTGGATCCAATAAATTAAATAAAGTGGCATGAGACTAATACACAGTACACCTGACTTTTTAAAAGGTAAGTGTTAATTGCAGAAGTGTGATTGAGGCGGCCAACTTTTAATTTTGGTAAAACATTGTTGAGTTATGTTTACAAGGGTAGCAAGGCAAATTAAATGTTTAGTCTTGACTTAGATATACACTTTTAACTCTACATTCATATTCTTAGTTTCCTGATTGTATAAGACAGCATTTTGGCTTATACAATATTAATATTACTTAATTTTCCATATCAAACATCAAACAATTATTAATAATTCAAATAGGCAGATATCTTCAAATTATTAAAAATCCTTAAGTTGAATGACAGAATTTTTCGGTAATAGTTTATCCGTAAAATTTGGTTACATTTTGTTTCGTGCAAATAACCCAGTTGTAACCAAACAAAATTAGAATTTGATCTTGAGGAAAGGTAAAATTTTGCAATAAATTTAGTTTAGAGCAACAGACCCATAAATGACTCCTTTCAAAGGCTTAAAGTTTTTGGGAAACACCGTCATGCTAAATAGAATAATACATTACTGTCTTATGTTATAAATTTACAGCCCCAGCTCCTTCAAGAAATGAATCAAGAATATCTATGTACAGGGTAATTAAAAATATCAATTGTAAATTCATTGTTTAAAACTCGATGCTAATTTTGCAATAAGTTAAAATTATGATTGTAAATATTTTTATGATCATTGGCAATTATTTGCTTTTTAATAATACAGTACAGTAATACCAAAACTTTAATGATTATTGCCACTATCAAAGTTTAACTTAAGGTATAAAACACAAAATTGTGTATACAGTACTTACTGTCTTTGATCCAAATTTGATGGCAAAATGCATATCCTGGCATACATCAAACTGTGTGCTTGTGTATTTTTTTGTTAAATTTCTGGACAAAAACTTAATTTTTTTTAATAGTAGGTAATCATTTACATATTTTAATTAAAATCTATATTAAAAAAAGTTTAGGATATGCATTTTCTGCCTTTATTAATTTTTGTACCTATTCAATTTATGTTTTTAGCCAATCTATTGTTTTCTGCTAATACCCCTTATATTTGTCAAAATGTACAAGCAAGGTTAGGTATTTATCTTCCAAAGTATTTATTTTAAGGATAACAGGCTAACATTTAAAAAGTAGGGTTTACCACTTGATTAAAATGTAAAAAGTTTGCATTATACTTGTACTGCCATTTCATTATATAATAAATTAATTTGGATATACATAAGACATTATGGCAGTATTTTAAATATCGGCTCATATTTGTGTGTTCAGAGAACAACACGGTTCGGTTACTGTTTAAACATGGCATAACGAAATTAAGAAAATGCATGAAAGCTAAAGTGATATTAATGCTTATTTGTAATAAGTTATCTCAGGATATTCATTTTTACCAGATGTAAGCCATTTGCCTGACCAGGAACACATTGAAAATTTACACAATAAGAAATTTCTCTAAATTATAATTTCCATCTGTCAAATTGTCTTATTTGTGGAGCTGGCACAAATATTGATTGATTGATTGATTGATTGATTGATTTACATCCCAGAACTGTTATGTGTTTTGATTTCTTTAATCTTTACTGTGAGGAAATACCAAGTTCCCAAAAGCATACAAAATCTGAATGACAACACATGAAACACATGCTTAAAATAATTTCCAGCATTTCTCTCATTTGCTACCGATTTAAAAAAAAAATATGTAATTCTTTTTTATAGCAAATACAATTTTTATTGGTGTGTAAATGTATGTTTTCAAGAAAAAAAAATGGCACAACCTTTCTATTGATGATGATGATAATGCAGAGTTCATGGCAATGCTTATTTTTGAGTCTACTAAATAAGGTGTCATTCCAGAGGTTTGGTCTTATTCTGTAATAAGATTGCTGTCCAAAACTTGAGCTGGATGAATCAGCTTATTTAGTATGTTATAATATATAATATGTATAGTGAGCAATCCCAGAGTACAAATTATAAATCATTTTCTATGTACCTAATAATAATATCAGTAAATTAAATTTTGGCCAAAAAATATAACATTAATCTATGTTGTATAATAACACCAGCTGAGCATTCTTTGACTATCTTGAGGGCAAGTGTTAGTCTTCAATTTTACATATGTCCTTGGACACTTGCTGAAAACTCATGGTAGAATAAGAATGTTTTGGTGTAGAAATTGATGCAATTTCATTTGTTATGGTAGGAAAGGGATACAACAACAACAACTGCAATGATGAATGCTTTTGGTCTTAATATTAGTATTAATTACATAAAAAGGTACAATAATACCATAATATTTACTTTGGTCAACTTTGAAAGCTTGGTTAATACTCTACTATCACATCTTTTCAATAAAGTGTAGCAGCTATCAAAATGCTTCAAAATGTGATTTATCAGACCTCTACCCCAAAAACTAGAAAACAAAAAAATTAATTGGTACAGTATCTGTCACTAACTGCATTTTCATTCTCATTTTCTATTTTGCAACACTTTACTATTAGGAGTAGTCAGAAAATTGTCATATAAAAATTTGAACTTCATCTAACTTCATAGTTAGATGCAAAATAACTTTGCATTATTAGCTTGATAAATGCAAAGTGAACAATCATGGAATACAAAATGTTAAACCTAATATAATGAACAGTTCCAAGCTACAAAGTGAAAATATTAAAAACTAGTGTAATAAACTAGTGTAATATCCAACACTACAATGGTTAAAAGGCAGTTTTAAGAACAACTTGGGCAAAGGATAATGTGCCAATCCTTAGTGTACAACCAACTATATTTACATTGGTATTTATAAAGTCACTCCCTCATACTTTCTGAACATATCTGCCTAAGGCTTAGGGGCAGAACATGAAACTTAAAATATTCATAGAGAAGAATGGCACAGTATGAGCCAAGACGGTGAGAATTATCCTTGAAGAGTTGGGTCACCAGAATAATTTGTATTGTCTTGTCTTCTGTCATATCCTTCTTGACTACAGTCATCCTACTCTCCAATTCTTAGAGCAGTAAAGATGGAAAGTAAAAAGAGAAGTTTATTTAGGAGACTAACATCCACAGTTTACGTCAGGTGCCCACCTTCTTGCAATTCTCTTTATATGACATAGCTCCATGGATGGCCCTCGCTATAATTTCTAGTCTGTTAAATGGGGTTATTTGTGTAAGGCAGCCGGAGGGTGGGGATGGGCCATAAGGTATGTATTATGCATCTGAGGGGCAACATTAATTTTTTCATCTTCAGAGACTATCACAATGCACAGTTCAGGAGGAACCTCATTTTATGCATATTACTTATGACAACCACTGAGGTTAAAGAAAATGCATAACCTACCATAGCCAATACAAGTCTTTCACAATTAACATTGTCTCATCTGGGAGGTATCAAAAGTGTTCAGTAGTTTAGAAGAGCACAGGTTTCAGGATGTGACAGCAGTGAATGTTGGTAGCAATTATTAGTGTAGTCTTCATGTCTCAAAATTTTAAATCTTTAAGTATTGAATATCAAGAGATGTATTAAGTACTGTATTTACCATTATATGAATTTGAAACAGATCAGAAGGCATTAAATGCTACAAACATGCACTAACTGTAACAGGGGCTAATTGCTACACATTGAGGGCTTGGCGAGTAGGAGGGCGGTGTGGAGAGTGGTAATCATCATCCCTGGTGGGGGGTAGCTGTCTTCGTGCAGAAGGTCGCTCTGGTGGGCGATCGTACATAAGACCAGGATCTTGGGTAGGAAGCCTGTCGCCATACTCATCATCTCGTAGATCTCTAGGGTCACGAAGCTCTCTTATATCCCGTGGGTCACGTGAAGGAAGTGTGCGAGATCCTCCATGTCCTGTTGGCCCTCCTCGATGGTAGACTGAAATAGTTTAATGCTTTTTCATTCTTAGAAAAGGTAAGCCATGATACAAAGATCAATATTTTCCATGTATTGAGTAATCACATACAGTATTTGTAATATTGGTGTTGTTTCTACATTACTAGGTGTAATTATATGAAAAGTTATTTAAGTACCATTAAGTAAAGTTTTACAGTACATGCAAAATTTATTTAAAATTTTTAGATGCATTAATTTAATCTCAAACTGTAATGTGCAACTACACTAATGTTTAACTTGTTAAAGCTGGTAGCTAGAAATACAATTTTGCTATAGCCAGTAGTGTTTCTCAGCATGTAAATAATAACACTTATCAAAGAGTGAGCATGTATCCTTGGGTAAGAAAACTAGCTCCTAAAAGCCTTTAGTGAAAGATATTAGTTCTCTTAAATAATTGCATTTTTGGGGGGTTATTAAATGTATTATGTAGCATGAAAGCAGGGAGACACACACACACACACAAGCAAATGTAATCAAGAGGATTAATGGTATGATGCTAAAATCTATAAATATTGTTGCATAGAGAAATGAAATGTCACATGGGCTAAATTGTAGTCACCAATAATAATTTAATTTTTTGTCAAGATTAAAATTCAACTGTAAAAGATAAGTATATATACAAGTACAGTTAATGTAGTTCTATAGCCTGTGGTGAAAGTACACAGATTTATTTTGATGCTGATTTAAATAAGCTGCATAAAGAAAACATTAAACAAAATTTAGTACACTAATATTAGAACCTGCAACATGCAAGCAATAAAAAGAAACTCAAATAGTGCAAAACAATGTTTAAACACATGACTATAAAGTTTTAAGTAAGTTAATGGGCAGCAGCAGCAGCAGCAACCAGGGGGCTAGGATAAGTCCAGGGGACAAACCAAGCCAACAGTTGAGACACTCATTGCAACCAAGGGGGTCAACACAGCAGTGCTCAACTAAATATACCAGCTGGTGTAGTGCTGTCGTGGAAGGTGGGCCATACTGGCTGGCCACTAGGCCATACAGGCTGTCAGTGGCCAAGCCAGACGGGCCACACCAACTACTGGGATGGGTTGCTTCCCGGGGCATTACCTCTCTCATCCGTATAGCGAGGGTAGCCGGGCTCACGAGCCACGGACCCGGGAGGACCTAAAGGGATGATACAGTTAGATGGGCAATTGTATGCAGCTAGCCCATAACCACTTAGTTATACTGTATGTAGAATAGTGATTATAATTTGTGTAGAGTAAATTAATTCAATAAATGTAACTGATGGATAAATAAGTTAATAAAGAAAAAATCCTTGTAAAATTCATTATAATTTTTTATTTAATTTCCACCATCATGATGATTAAATATATAAGTGTTAAATGTAATTAAACAATGGAACTCCCTTTTCTCATGGGATCCTTCTGAGCTTAAGTATTGGCCCAGCTATGCCTTAGGTAGATTGACTAGGTTTCTGAGGCCCACTCTTGCTCACCAGACACCAAAAGCAACCAAATGGATGAAGAAAATTAGGTACCGAGGTAATGAGACAAACTGTCATTGCCATAATGTAAACACCAACCGTATTGCCCCGACTGCCACCAAGCAGCAGCCCAGGTCACCCATGGACCTTTCCATAGCATAGGAAAGGAAGGAATAGGTGTAGGGACTGGGAGCTATTAAGGTTCCACCATAAAAAAAGTTTCATTACATAGAACACTTAATTTATGGGAGGGGGGCGTTCCATAGTACTGTAACTCCTCAATAATGAGGCCCTGCATTTCTGAAAAAGAATAAATTAGTAAATAGAAAAAATTTGTTCTTCTTCCATGGGCAGCCAGAGACTGCCCATGGAAGAAGATAGCACAAGAGGAAGACCCTGGGCAGAAGAACATCAGCTGCATGTCAAATGCCAAAGTGCAACACAAGCGTCGCATAACAAAGATACATACAGTACCTCGGTCATGTCATGTCACAGCATAAGGCCAGCACCCTGTTGGAGCACCAAAAGTCTTTAGGCCAGATATTAGCCATAGATATACTGGCAAAGAAAGCCATCAGAGCAAGAAACTGTTGGATATCATGAGTGAGGATGCACATTTGTCTGGCTGAAGCGAACACCTAAAACCTTCAGCTACACATCACATTTGGGGATGTATTAAAGTACTGTACCGCATATTATTTAAAAGTCCTGCAGGGTAAACAGCCCATGGCAACAGTAAACAGCTGCCATCTTGAAAAAATCCTGAACAAGCATAATTGGCAGGAAGGCCTCAGTTTGCCTCGAGCTACCATTACCGATGCATGCTCTTCCAGCTCCCAACACCGACATGTGGTGTGCACTACAGTAGCACTTACTGATGAAGAAATAATAAACTGCTGGAAACATGAGGAAAGTGACATTGATGGCTGATATTGATAAAGACTATTATACATGAACAGGGTAAAAAGTGATATGGAGAGTGATATAGGTGCAAATGTTGCTGCTCCCAGGGCAAGGCCTATACCAGCACAGCCCAGCTCAACGCCACCACTGCCAGCGGGACACAAGCCACCTTGTGGGTCTGTGCCACAGATCTTCCACATGTTCACGAGTTATCAGAACACTGATTTATTTTGTGGGTTTAGTGACCAGGATTCAGATACTAGTTTTAGTATCTGAAGCCCAGTCAGGATTTCACACATTGTCCCCATGAAGGTTCGAATCCTAATTATGGCTCCTACTGATGTTTTCATTGATACATCATGTTAATGTGATTTCTTTGTAATTGCCTAAGTGTAGTTACAGGATGAGAGCTACGCTCGTGGTGTCCCGTCTTCCCAGTACTCTTTGTCGTATAATGCTTTGAAACAACTCACTGTTTTGGCCTCCACCACCTTAGCTTGTTCCAACCTTGCATTTGAAGAGAAGCATTGGAGGTTGAACTCCTAGACCACAGCCAGAGTGCATGAGAGTAATGTGTGTGAAACCCTGACCCGGCTTCAGTGGAAGCCACAGGATTCCTAGAGGATTCAGTTGACTCCCAGGTTGCATTGTTTTCACCATTTTATGGTGTAGTGGTGTAAGGCATGAGCTTGGAAGTATCTAGTGTGCAGATTTGAATCATCCTCTATGGCTCCTACTGATTTTTTTATCAATATTATTATTATTAGTATTTATTTAGTTTTAGTTTAGTTCATTTTTCATGCCCCCTGGGGGTCATACTCATCCTGTGGGCAGTAGTGGAAAGGGTTACAGAGGCACATAATGGGCTCAGGGACTGAACCCCAAAATTCATTTAGCCAAGCAACTTAGTCTTGATGAGCTAGTTACAAAATTCTCAACATACATTGTCACATCAACAATGGGCTCGAGACCGACCAAAAATACAGTTTTTAAATTAAGCAACTGACATATGGAAAGCTAGTGTCACAATTGATTTGTTTATGCTGCACACTGCCCCCCCCCCCCATCCAGTGGGCAGTGGTGGTAAGGTTACAATCACTCGGTTACCGACTTCAGTTAGCAAACTAGGGCTATTAGGCTAAAATTTCTGATAGCAAATAATTTTCAATGAAATATTTACATATCTCTGAAGCATTTGTTATATAAATTGCCTCTGAATTCACAAATATTTTTGCAATCCATCACATAGTGACAAAGGGTGTGTGAATAATTTTGTTGACACAGTTTACATTTGGTCATGGAAAAACCATGCAGGCAAGGTTCAGGCTCCCACACAACTGCTTGAGCAATTGCCAAGACAGCCGGTACCATCTTGACACCAACAGATGGCAGTGCTGCAGCTGGAGCAAAGTCACCAGAGGAAGGAAATTGATACTGACCAGGAATCCCATGAAGCCCAGCCAAGTCCAAACCTGGAATGGAACCAAATAGGACTTCACCAGTTCAGGAACCTGAACCCAACAAGCTGAGAAAGAACAGGATTCCTGGCTAGCAGGAGTTAGGGGAAGATCAGAGGCAAGTCAAACCATGCCTGAAAGGCAAGAAGAGGTGTGGATGGAGCCATTATAGATATCACTAACGGCTTCAATTCTAGTTCCCTAAGCACAAGTTGGGACAGCATTGGGGCATCCAACCAGGTACACAACCTAGAGTGCTGCAAACTGAAGAACCACATCAAGCAGCTACTGCCTGATATGCACTAGCTCTCCCATGTGACTTGTCATATGGGAAGAGCAAACCCCGTAAAACTCAGGGTTGAAGGTGTTCTCAACCCAACAGGAAGCATGGCAGAGGCAGAGGCAGAAGTAGTGATTGTCACCCCATGCTACAGATGAACAACCCTGAAATTTACACAAGGCGAGAGTAGGTTCAAAGGGAATGTCCATTGGCCACAACGAACCCTTGGGGAATTTTCAAGGGCCCAAAGGGTAAACAAAGCAAGATATCCAGGCACTGGGGATGTTACACCAGAGATAAACGCAAGCTGACAACCTGGGATAAATGGCTGTGAAGGCTGACCTCTGTGTTCCATAAACGTTAAGCATGCAAGCCACCGGTACACCCCACCAGCCAGCATTGCTTCCAGCTTGGGCCAAGACAGAGGGGCCACAAAACTCTTGACTCACCCTAGGCAAAGGCCTCCTTGAGCAAGGAGGACTTCTAAGGGAGGAAACTTTTGAACACACCAGAGATGATAAATCTACCAGTAAAGAAGGCAGTGAGCACGTGCAGCTCCAAGCACTATGAATCCATGTCTGTATCAGCATAAGAATTGAGAATTGTGAATTTGTTCATTTGATGCATCATGCTATTGTGATTTGTGTGTGTAAGAGAGATTTGGCACTTTGATAGTTTGGTTTCCCCACCCAAATGAGTAGGGGGTTGGGTTAATAAGTGCACACTAGTTTTGAGGGATTAGAATGTTTACATAGTTGGGGAAGTTCATTAGGCGGGTTGTAAAGTTTCATTTTTTTTTTTTAACAACTTAGCAGTGGTTCGCTATGGTTTGCTGACTTTCTGGATGCCTTCCCAGTGAGGTAGCAAAGGTATCCAGAAAGTCATCTGCTCCCTGCGCCTCTTTGAGGGGGCCAGGTTTTAGCTTTGGTCCCTGGTAGGCATAAGAACTCTACAGCTGATGTGACCTAGTAATTGGGAGCTATTTCAGCAAGATAGCTTCTGGGAGCCACAAGAGGCTCCCACCAGAAAAATTGTGGGCACCCCTACTGGGTGTTAGGGCCTTGGTACTAATACAGCAACCATGGGTGGTGCATTCAGCAGTATCTCACAACACTGCCATGGAGCTCATGCCCACACCATCACTTAATGATGAAATATAAATAGACATCTACATTTATTTATCAACGATAGTAACGTAAAAGACCCAGCTAGACAAAGATTATGTACTGTACAAGGTTCAGATATCAGTAAACCTGATGCTGGTGACAATGTTCCCGAGCACACCTTACCTTGCGATGATTTCGGGGCTCAACGTTCCCGTGGCCCGGTCGACCCGGTTGCTGGACTGGTCAACCAGGCTGTTGGACGTGGCTGCTCGCAGCCTGACATTTGAATCACAGCCTGGTTGATCAGGTATCCTTTGGAGGTGTTTGTCAAGTTCTCTCTTGAACAATGTAAGGGGTCGACCAGTTATGCCCCGTATGTGTAGTGGAAGCGTGTTGAACAGTCTTGGGCCTCTGATGTTGATAGAGAGCTCTCTCAGAGTACCTATTGCACCTCTGCTTTTCAACAGGGGTATTCTGCACATCCTTGCCATGCCTTCTGGTCTCTGTGATGTTATTTCTGTGTGCAGGTTTGGGACCAGCCCCTATACTATTTTCAACGTGTAAATTATTAGGTGTCTCTCCCACATGCTCTCAAGAGAATACAGATTTAGGTATTTTAGTTGGTCCCAATTGTTTAGATGTTACCACAGCCACAGTTCGATGCCTCAACACATCATGCAACTGGACCTTGTGTTCCTTTACAAAATAAAAATTTTGAGGATTCATTTTCAGGATTCTGATGACAGAAGTGTTTTGGTTAGAACTAGTGATGTGTGTAGTATATGGGATGGCACTTTGCTTTATCAGGAATTGGCGAGCATATGTTGCAATGTTGTTCATCGATCAATGGTTACAAGATTCACACACTCACTCCAGAGCTGCTTAGTGATACATAATAGTTCATAAACATGTAGTTATATACAGTACAACGA